TGTGTGTGTGTGTACGTGTACGTGTACGTGTCTGTGCATCTTTCTTTGGTCGTTTCGAGATACCCTCCTCATCTTGAATGTCGTCAGTTCAAAACTGTAAGGTGCATCACTGGCTTACAGATCTTTCCACTTATTGTGTCCAAATCCTTAAACTTAGAATCAGTTCAAGTTAACATTCTTACTTGAGATTTTAAGAGCAAAAAAAACTACGAGGCCAAAATCACAGGTTTCAGCTTGCTGCAGATGAATATCCTCAAGTCTGTTTTGAATTTTCACAAAAGTGAATTGAAAAAGTCCAGCTGAAGTTGCAACTCTTGAAAGGGATGAATCATGAGCTGAAAAGTTTGATAATTTACACAATCAAATCAAAAAAATCATCCTCAACTGGTACTCGCAAAACCGCATATCTGTGTTAACCATTTTTTGAGGTATTTGACGCTATCTGCTTGATTTAATTTGGCTATTTTTTAGCGCAATTTCCAACAGTGCAGCATGAGCTGGAGAAAGAAATCAAAACTAGCATGGAACGTATTGTATACGAGGAGAAATTCATCAAAGAAGAGACCAGCCAAATTGACCAGTGCTTAAAACGATGCAAGACACTGGCCAATATGATGGTCACTATGAAGAAGCTGGCGATGGTCCAGGATCCGAGCCTCAGCGCCTCAAGGTCCGAGCGAAGTGGCCGAAGTCTGTTCACAGTAAACGAAAATGGCTTTACAGCAAATAACAAGTCCAGAATCAATGGCCTGATGAATGGAAAAAGCACAAGCAGCAGCACTGGACAGTTGAGCAGGTCGGAAAGAAGTGAAACAGCACCACCACCGGTTCCACCAGCACCAACCAATTATGAAGGTAATAAGTAAACTGGTATAAGTTACTGGTCATTTAATTACTGACCATTTATAACAGGACTGTTGAAATCTGGATTTATATCACTGACACGGAGTCTCAAAGTAAAAATTTCCAGAGTGTCGTATTTTAGCCTCGTGAGTGTTTTAGTCTTATTTTTTATGAAAGTGTGGAAGAGTGACGGAGTACAAATTCCCCTTCGTCTAGTTAGACATTACATCCTGAATTCCTCCGCGGGCCGGATTATGCCGTCATTTGCTCACTTGTTATTTATAACTTACTGATTAATTATCATCATTTGTCTAGTCAGAATGCAAAGCTCTTTTCATATTTGCTCAAGGTGAAAGGTGAAGGCATTCGAAAATAGCTCGGGTGATAGCAATTACCAACAGTAACCTTGTCAGTGCCTTCCACTTTCGAGAGTTGCTTACAAGCATGCTGATAGCGAGTCTGTTTCCCTAGCATATTCTATTATCAAATTATCATTAAAGCTTATAAGTAAATCGTATAAACTAACTGGGTGCCCAAATGGCGAATTCGAAATAGTAGAATAGAGGGACTGGACTAAGTGTCATGTGCAAGAAAACATTTTACAATGCAGCCTGTGTTTCATTCCTCAGCTATAAACACATACCGAACTTTGCGTGCGGCTTGGGGTAGGAATCATCAGTACAGCCTTTTATCCACCACGTATTGAATAATCATGTGACCAATTTGCAAGACAACAGCAGCGCTATTTCCTGTTGCGCTGTTCCCACCACCTAGCTTATGTAATGTGAAATCGAAAATTTTTCGAGTCGGAAATAAAACTTATTTTCAAAGTAGTTCAAGATAATATCAGTGACCAATTTTTTGCCTCCAAAGAATGGTCAACTAATTTAATGCTTTGATACTGGAAAGCGATAATTGCAAGCAACTACAGCGCCTAAAGGAAATGCAGGAAATTGATTTTTCCCCCGAATTTTGGTTAGTTCGAATATTTTTAAATCTAAAAAATGACTATATCGCATACTAACGGCTCTATCAGTACTTGTCGATTCAGGGGGTACTAGAAGAAAAAGTGTAATTGTTATTCCAGGTAGCTCAAGCAGTTCGAAAGGAAACACCGACGCTAATGTCCTAGATACAATTCTGGATGAGTTAACGAACACGGTGCGCCGTGATCGGCAATCAAAATCAAAATCGCCAAGCTCGACCAGATCCGAATCGGCAATACGAAACGGGCCACCCAAACCGCCTGAGCGTTACTCCACGGTCGATGTGCGAAATCGTTTTACACCTTCCGAGGTACAGGAGATACAACGCCGCGTCATCGAATGCGTCTCACCCACTCCAGGTTAATTCCTTTCGTCATTGGTAGTAGCAGATAAATATATAACGACGTACACCACAGCGCTCATTGTGATCAAGTGTTCTGCGCAATTCCGTCAAGCGGACATTTACTGTTAAGAACTTTCACTGTTTTACACTTTGGTTCGTGCAAAAACAGTTGATATGTTGTTTGATTTCTAAGCTGTGAAATTTCCCATCAAAAATTTCAGAATAATACTCCTGCCCGCATATAAATTCAAATTCTGTGCATGCCTAAGTCTCAGGTGTGGATATCCGAAAGTTTTGGCGCCAAAACTAATAACTCTGGAACCACAGAAGCTGGGAGGCTGAAATTTCGGAATAATGCTCTCTGCTCGCGTGTAAATTAGTTTCACTATGGAAACATGAAAGTTTTGGCGCCAAAATTGACAACTCGGATTAGCAAGTGGACACTTTAGAGCGGTGGGCACTTTTAAAAGCAAGCTAGACAAAGCTGCACAAGCTTCAGCAGGACAGGACTGCACGAACGTTCATCAGGCAGAATTAAACAAGTATTCGCTGGACAGGGTTGCTCAAAAAGAATAATGCACCGGGGTATCTGGTGTGCGCCACTATTTATTTTTTTTT